ATAAAGAAATAGATGTCAATGGCCAATTTCTAGGTTTTTTAATCCTTTTTCAAAAAAACAGATTTTTATTTTACCTTAACACAGTTCTGTTCAAAACAATTCTAACACCTTTCAAATAACCTTTTAAAAATTACTTATGAATCTATGCACCTTGATAAAATGTTTCCTGTTTTTCATTTCCCCAAGGCTAAAGTGACACAGTTATTAGCTTTTGATAGGGTTAAACAATAACCTGTTCTTACCTTTGTGAAAGAATGGAAAACAAATATAACTTGAAGCATTGTAACAGTTGACAATATTCCCATACTTCAGTTCTTTCTTATTCTTCTTTTTCCTAAAAGAGCACAGGGGAATTTTTTAAAAAATCAAATGTTTTAAATAAACTTTTTCTCTCCTTCTAGTGCTGAATAAAGTCCTTTCTGTCCCTAAATGTCAACAATATCATACTTTCTTTTTTTGGAGGAAGATCAGCCCTGAGCTAACATTCGATGCCAATCCTCCTCTTTTTGCTGAGGAAGACTGGCCCTGGGCTAACATCCGTGCCCATCTTCCTCTACTTTATATGGGATGCTGCCACAGCATGGCTTGATTAGCAGTGCATGGGTGCGTGCCCGGGATCAGAACCTGCAAACCCCGGGCACTGAAGTGGAGCACACAAACTTAATTGCTGCGCCACCAGGTCAGCCCCCAATATCATACTTTTTAATAGGGAACCTCTTTAATCCTGTGTGGTAATAGTTACAATGTGCCAGGTAACATTCTAGAGGCTGGGGATATACCAGTAAACAAAACAAGTAAAAATCCCGGTTGTTGAGTTTATGGTCTAGTGGGGGGAGACAGAAAATGAACAATATGAATAAGTAGAACGTGGTGATAAACGATAAAGAGAAAATTAAGACAGGAAGGGAACAGGGAGTGTCAGTGCGGTTGGGCAGGGGTCGTGGTTTCAGATAGGGTGGTCAGAGAAGGGCTCTTGAGACGATGACATTCAAGGAAAGATGTGAAGGAAGTAGGGGATGACGTGTTTTAAGGAACAGTAAGCAGGGCAAGTGGAGTCAGCTAAGGGAAGAGCGGTGAGAAATGAAAGGTAAGCGGGGGTCAGTCTGGTGGTCTATTTTAAGGACTTTGGCTTTTATGCCATTTCATTAAATGGCATTAGAGGTATATCTCTTCTTCTGTTTATCTCTCAAGATTCATTCTCCACCCTTCTCCATCCTGTTCTCTGGCATGGGGAAGCTAAGCAGGATTTTCCTCATGACCAATCGCATGTCTTCCTTTTGGCCACCTTCCTCTTCTTTCAACCATCCAAGTGTTCCCTCTGTCAGAGAAGCAGAGACCCAGCCACCTGCATTTCTCTGGATCAGTAGTTCTCAACAGTGGCCCTAAACCAAACTGTGTCATGACGGGAACCTACTAAAATGCAGATTCCTTGGCCTCACTCAAGACATTCAATCAGTATCTCTGGGATTGCGACCCAAGAATCTGCATGTTTAACAAGTTTCCCACATCAGTTCTTTCTTACTGTGAGGCTTGAAAATTAGAATTCTGCATTATAGGAACAGCACCCTTCTGATGGGCATCTGAGCAGTTTCTTATACTCGATTTTTTTCTTTGCTCCAAAAATAACTCAGAAATATTTGGTTTGGCTCTATTATATTTTCACTGACTATAATCTGTTAAGTTTTTATTCCTATTTTTATTCAATGTTTATAAAATATTTTATTTTGTGAAATATTTCATCATTAAATACTATCCATAAGAATCACTTTGCACAGTCCTCATCAATTTGTGTCATATGAGACTTGATGTCTCGTTTGCAAATTTATAAATTGTGGAAGGATTATGTATGACTTCTATATTTTTTGTATAACAGCACTGATTTTGTTTTTATTTAAATGATAATATTTCCCATGATGAATCATTTTTCAACATTATACTTGAATTAGAAAAAAAAGTTACCCAAAAGTTACTAATAAACGCCAGATATCACGCTATGTTTTTGTGCTGCTCAAGTTGATAGCACTGAACTTTGAGGACTTTTTCAGAGTTATGGAAGTAAAATGACTGTGTGACTTAGATTGTTTTAGAATTAGTGATGAGGAATTCACATTTCCCAGGAGCTTATGCAGCACTGCTTTCATATTACACCCAATCTGCTGTGAAGAGAGACATTAGATTGATGTTTTCCGGAGTATTTCTGTTACAATCTCCAGAGTTCAGCACTTTTAAACAAATATTGTCCTTCCAGTTTTTTGCAGATTTCATAGTTTAATTTGCCCTGTGCCAGAATTTGCTATTTCAAGATACGGAGGCAAACAAGACTGTCAGAAATCAAGAACAAGGGAGGCACTGTCATGTACCAAGTAGATAATAGTAAATATCTACCTGAGGAGTTGAATCCAATCCCTCCGAAGAAGATTGTTTCTCATTTGGCCTCTTACTAATTTTGGATTTTTCCCTAGCAGAGAGAGGGTGTGGTATTTTGATTGAGAGAGCTGCATAATGGATTTGGCTGAGACCTAAGCTTAAACCTGCCCTTGAAGCTGGAGAGGATCAGATGGAGTCTTTATGGCCCACTCTGGCTGGACTGTGTTCACAGCGAATACGCAAAAGCATGTATTTCCTCTCAGATATTAGGATTTGCAGCTGCTGGTTAAAAACGCATCCACAGGGATATGCCAAAAGCTGAAGCAAATGGTCCATACATTTTAGGAATATAAGAAGAAAGGCTTGTGAATCTTTTTTTTTTTTTTTTTAATAATCAGTTACTGAGGTTTAAGCAATGTGGTTTTTTTATTTTTTATTTTTTTATTTATTTTTTTCCTGTGAGGGAGATCAGCCCTGAGCTAACATCCGTGCTAATCCTCCTCTTTTTGCCGAGGAAGATCGACTCTGAGCTAACATCTATTGCCCATCCTCCTCCTTTTTTTTTTCCTTCCCCAAAGCCCCAGTAGATAGTTGTATGTCATAGTTGCACATCCTTCTAGTTGCTGTATGTGGGACGCGGCCTCAGCATGGCCAGAGATGCGGTGCATAGGTGCGCGCCCGGATCCGAACCCAGGCCGCCAGTAGCGGAGCGAGCGCACTTAACCGCTAAGCCACCAGGCCGGCCCTTGTGAATCTTTTAATAATGGCATTGCATGTAATAAAATGTCTTATAAGAAAAGATTCTTGCAGAATTTCTGCTTCTCTATGCTTTTGGTTAAATTGCTTAAGTCAATGTATTTAACATGAGTGCATTTTTCAGAAAACCAAAGAAATTTTCCACCTTTCAAAATAATCATGCATTTTCTTTTATTAGTAAAGGGGCATATAAAAGTTCTAAATATTAGATGTATTAGATGGTAAATGAGGATTAATCTATAAAAAAGGAAAAAAATTATGTTATTATGCCTCAAGAGCCCTTTTTTACATTACTTTAAATTTTTACATAAGGATAATACAGGATTTTGGAAATTCTAAATCTGAAAAGGACCTTGAAAGTTATTTAGTTTGGGAATGCTAATAACAACAACAATGATGCTAATAATATAACCTTTGAGTGCTTACCATCTGCTGGATACTGTTTTAAGAAGCTTTACATATGTAATCTCAGTCAATCCTCACAACAACACTACAATGTAAATATTATTAAATTCATCTGACAGATAAGGGAACTGAGACACAAAATGTTTAACAAATCCGCCTGAGGTCATAGATCTAGCAAGTGGGAGAGTCAGTATTAAAGCTGAAGAAACGCTTGTAAAATTATCCCAGCCAGTTCTATCCATGGAAAGTGTACACAGCTGTCGACAGTGTGATTTGAAGGTGCCAGAAGGTCTACCCAACTACATCACCTTCAACGGTTTACAACACTGCCTCAAATTCCCACCAATAAAGTGCTTGGTATGAAGATAATGTCCAAAAAGCTATATTTTAAAAATATAACCTAAGAAGAATTGTTCCCTAATGATAGTAATACAAAGTAGACACATTTTAAGGAGATTTGGATGATAAAATGAGGAAAAAGAAAACAAACGACCTCTTGAAGGTAAACACCATAATATACACTCTTGGTCAATCCTGACAAAGTGGAGGGGTGAGGAAGACAAAATTCTTTTAATTTGGCTTTGGTTGGATATGGAAATTATCCATCTTAAGCTGTCTTCTTATTTGGGAAATATAACCTTACTAGATAGTTAAAACTTTACCATTTGCAATGGTGAAATTTAACAGTGAAAATTATCTGTATAATATTTTCCTCACCATTTGCCTTTTTGAACAGAGATTCTTAAATAGGGTCCCACATATGGACCCCTATTGATATATGAAATTTCCAATATGTATGTGAGAATGCACAGCACTCTAAGAATTCATCAAATTCTTATAAGTATATATGAGCCCCCTCAAAACAGCTAAGTTAGCATAAAATCAACCTGGCCCAGCTGCACTTATATATTACCTAAAATTAGTGCCTGCTGGAGGTGGTCTTTAACAGCTAAGAGAACATACAACTGCTTTGAATTACGTATCCTAATGAGCATCCCAGGCTACATTCAAGCTGATATTTTAGAAAGCAAAATATGGTATGCAAGATTACCAAGACCAGGAAAACATTACCTACCACTGGTTTGCTAGAACTGTCTTTCACCTTTTCACCATGTTTCTGCAAAAACAGATGCAACTATTCAGGATTGCAGTTTTAAGTAAATAATATGCCACAAGGAAGTGAGACAGGTACGTCAATAAAAGTTCTTAGGAAAGGGTTAGGCAAACGGAATGGGCAATTAATTAAAAATGCTTTTCAAAATGAACAAACTGATCTCACTCTCTTGGTGAGCTATTACCAGGTTCTTCTGAGTTCTTAAAACATTTTCTTTACTCTGTGTTTAACAACAAATGTGGGCCAATTGCTGTGAGTTAATTGAAAAGGATTGTTTTCTAGTTGCCAAGAAACGGCGCTTTCTTACATTATGCAGGCCATTATGTGCACAGATTAAGCTTCCTGATTTTTCTTTCAGGGTTTAAGAATATAGGCTGCTGTGATTTAGTTGTCCCTTGAGGAGAGGAGCACAAATCAAGAAGGGTTTCAGGTGTGTTGTTCCATTTCAATTTACCAGGTAAGATTTGGATTTGAAAGTGCTACCTTCTTCCTAATGCTTAACTTTTCCTCAGTGACTTAAATGTTTTTATGTTGAGTGAATGAGTGGATCTAAAATGATGATTTTACTTGGGAGAGTTTCGTGTAAAATCATGCTAAGTTGATTTTCTTCCAGCGGAAGGTTCTGAGGAAAAAAAAAAAGAGGTAGAGATAATAATAGACATCTCTGAGACTGGCTCTAGAATTTGTTTCTTCTTGATTTCAGAGTAGTAAATACATGTAAATCAAGAAGTTGTGAGTGTGTTTAGCTTTGGAACATTAAAATCATTGCTATGGAAGCAAACATTATTTCTATTTGGAGAAAAGATTTAAAATCTTATTCGACTCTTTCCAACTGAGAAATGGGTTTTCTATTAGCTAACTTCAAAAAGACTTGTTGATCTTATGTATTACTTGGTTACTTGTCTCTTAAAGAAAACTAAAACTTTTATATATTTTCATTATCTCTTTTCTGTTGGCTATTTTCTTCACGATTTAGTTTTGAAGATAAAATCAAGGTTGTTTTACTCAATGGAGCGTACTAATAGGTGTGATAGGAATAAAAAAGTTGCCCTTCTTCCTCAGGAAGGAAAACAGAATTTCTTGATTCAAAGTTAGTTGCTCCCAGGCTCACCAATGCAATGCTCAATGTGGGTAATAATCTGCAGGCAAGTGTTTGCAAAGGATTTTGTGAGTTGAGTTTGTTGGGTCCAATCATCCTCCCACTCTTAAGGAGTTAATACTTTCATAGGTTTAGGTTGAACTCTGTAATTCCTTGAATTTATACTTACAACCTTACACAGTTTACACAGACTATCCGTTGAAAACAAGTGTCAAATTTGCAGATGAACCTAGTTGAGTGTGGTTATTGATCTTTTCTTTCAAAATCATATTTTACCTCCTCTCTTCCATGGCTCTGGGTTTCCTAGGAATATATTTCCTTTACAAGGAAGATCATCAAAATGGACACAAGTCAGGTCAAACATTCGTTGTCTCATTAGGTAAATTTCCACTTGTCCCGAGTCTGAAGACACTTGAGTATAAATATGACCTGTGTATTATGAACCCTAGTTGATGCTGGAGAGAAATCATTGCGGCATTGCCTGTACCTGATAATATGATTTGGGTTTTCCACAAGTGACCCAATACTCTGGTAAGGAAACTATTATGTGGAGTAATGTTGATGAAGTGATAGTTGAATATGACATGCAATCCATCCATTTATTTTTATCTTGTCAAACTGGAGTCTCCTTTCTTGAATTCCTATACATTTTTTAATTAACTAAAGAATCACAGTATCATCAGCTATCACAAATTCATAACACTGTATTTTTTATTTACGTAGTAGTAAAATTGAAGCAGCCCAATTAAAGAAATACATGATTTGTAGTTATGTATACTTGGTGTGACTTTTTACCATTTTTTATTGGAAATGTGCTTTTGTTTCCAGGTAAGAAGTAACTAAACAATTCCATTCTAGTTTACATTCCTTTCTTCACCTTGTCAAAGAGTGATCTTTGCTCTGAAAATATACTTTTTTTTTTTTTTTTTGCTGAGGAAGATTCACCCTTAACTAACATCTATTGCCAATCTTCCTGTTTTTTCTTGAGCAAGATTTGCCCTGAGCTAACATCTGTGCCAGTCTTCCTCCATTTTGTATGTGGGTCACCACCACAGCATGGCTGACGAGTGGTGTAGGTCCACACCTGGAATCCGAACCTGCGAACCTGGGCTGCCCAAGCAGAGTGCGCCGAACTTAACTGCTAGTGCACAGGGCCAGCCCCCTGAAAATATACCTTAGATATTATTGGTACTATGGTGCTTAAAATATCTATGCTGGTAAAATTTTTGCTTAGTCATTTTAACAATTATTGGAGCAAGGTGAGAGGTGAATATGTGGGATGGGTGGAGTGGTACGAAAGTCAGCCTGATGCAATATCTTATAGGCAGATTTCTTCCCATATCTAGCACACCATTTTTTCATTGTCAGTATAACAGAATGATTGTGCTATTAATTAACTATAAAGGAAATATTTAATAGTGTAACAAAAAGTCTTGATTTTATTTCTGAATGGTATATTTTTAATTAAACAAATATTAACTGATAATGATTTGCCTCTCTGTGGTTTAAGAATTTTGCAAAAAGAATGATGTCCATCTAGATTGGGATGGAGATCAGTCTGTAAAATTTTTGTTCAACCTTAATTAAGAAGAGACTGAATTGCGTTGATAGTTTGTAGATGACAGTGACTGAAATACCAAAAAATGATAGACTTTTAAAGGCACTTATTGATTATTGAATCTAAGGGCTTTGAAACTTGATTTTGAGGAGTCCTAGAGATTCCCAAAAGCATTATAACAAGGGTGAGTATGTGAAGATGGGGGGAATGGTTAGCTGGTGGAGTAGGAGAAATACATTGTATTATCAACCAGCCCATGCTTTTCAACTTTGTCTGCAAGAACACAGATAGCCTAAAAATATTTGACAAACCGTTTGTGGAAATCAAGATACACTGTATTTATAGCATTACTCTGATCTACAATTTAAGACACCCAATCAAGTATGAGATTAATTTGACATATTTCATTTATAGTGCGCTCAAGGTTTTTGACAGTCAATTCTTCTGTTGCAGGCACTCAGCATTTCTTCCATTCTAGAATTATTTCAGGGATCCTTACTAAGGAGCTTATCAATTTTTTTGAACACCACCTGTTTTTTTTTTAAATTAGGACTATTTATTTTATGGTACAACTCTTAAACATCATTTCAAAGATTTCTAAAAACATTATTGTCCCTTCGATTGCTAATTTTCCTATATTCTCTTGATATGACATCTACCTAACTTTAGGAATTTAAAATATATAAAGTAATAAAGTGCTTTTTTACTCTCTTCTTACTGAAAAATGGTCTCTTTATGATATTACAAGATTATTTGCCTAAATAGAGAAGATATATGCAAAATATTTTAGTAGTTTTTTTTTTCATTTTTTTAAATTTTATTTATTTATTTTTTTCTCCCAAAGCCCCAGTAGATAGTTGTATGTCATAGCTGCATATCCTTCTAGTTGCTGTATGTGGGACACAGCCTCAGCATGGCCAGAGAAGCAGTGCCTCGGTGCGCGCCCGGGATCCGAACCCGGGCCGCCAGCAGCGGAGCGCATGCACTTAACCGCTAAGCCACGGGGCCGGCCCTTTAGTAGTTTTAATTGTCCTGTTGTTTATCTACACGCAATCAGCACAAAACTTTACCTTGCTCTATTAAGCCACGAAGGACAGTCCTTTCTTTTGTTGTTAAAATTTTTGTTAAACTGGGATTTTTAACTTCTCAACTGCAATGATATGATTTTTGAATTACTCTTGTAAATTCCTTTTTCCATTTTTGCTTATAAGTATTTCTAAGACCTGAGAATGCTGTCTCCTCTCCTCCTTCCTTTTGAGCAGTTGTTCTCAATTTCGCAATGTCTGAAGATATTTTTTGGCTGCTACAATGAGGGTGTGGGGTGCTCCTGGCATCTAGTAGGTAGAGGACAGGGATGCTGCTAAACATCCTACAATGCACAGGAGAATCCCCACAACAAGGAAGTATCAGATTCCCAATGTCAATAATACCTGAGATTGAGAAACTGCTTTACAGGTCTCACATGCCTTATCATGGCTAAATCCATGATTGTGGGTTAAAATTTTTGTTTTCAGAATATCCTGAAATCTCATATACAAATAAAAGGAATCTTCATTTTATTGGTCTATAGGATCACACCTAATTTTTAATTGACCTTTCTGGAATTTGCCTATATAAAGTTTAGGAATCATGATCTGACCGGATTGTCCGGTTTTCCCTTCCTTGATTATTACCAGTACCAAAATGACAATGGTCACGTTATCTTTAAGCTCATGTCATGTCCATATTACTAAATAGTGCTTTGTCTGAATGACTTGTAGAATATTTCCCTCACAGCTTCTACTTGTGGATAAAGAAGGACTCATTAAGGCAAGACAATAATATCATCTGTTTCTGTGCTCCTCATTTCATGTCCAAAGTCACTCTTCAGTAATCATTCATTCATTCTATAGATATTTATCAAGCACCTATCATGTTCTAGAAACTGTTTTATGTTGAAAATTTAGCAGTGAGTAAGACAAAAACCTTACTTTTGTAGTGATTACATTATAGTAGAAATCAGAAGATCCAAAATCCATTTTTCCTTCAACCATTTTTGATCCTGATCTATTACATGTTAAAACAAAGCAAAACAACAAGAACAGAATCTGGTGCATTCTAAATAGTTGCAAAAGTTTGTTCATAGTTTTTTTTTCATGTAAACCCTCTGTTTCTTGGGGACTACCAAGAACCTTTTCATTAATTTCTGAACTTCACTTTCTGGCAGATATCTCTATTTTCAACTTGCTTGGTGTGCATTCTAGAGAAGACTGATTTTGAAGTAAATTTTGAATGAAGGGAAATAGACTATTTGATGAGTTGAAATAATGCTGGTAAGAAAAGTGAATCTGGCATTTAGGAAAAAGACATAAAGTAAGGATGGAAAATTGTGAGAGGAAAGAGGCCAGTCGGGCCTGAAATTTATTTTATATGCTATGCCAAGAAAAAAGGGAAAAGGAAAGAAAAAAAGAAGAGAAGAAAAAGAGCAGTAATGTATCTTTCCAGCGTAACTGTACTCAGAGTAATTCTTTTCCTTTGGTGGCTATCTCTGTCTCTGGTGAATTCTTTAGAATTCCTTATCTATTTTGTAATTTATTCCTCAATAGTCATTGATGAGGTTATTGGCTTCTTCTTTAGATAGGGAGTGAGAAGCATAGTGAAGTAAAGTAGTATTTTAATATTTTAATATTTTGATCTTGCTATTTCTTTTGATTTTGCTTTGTAGTTTCTTGCCCTCCCTAATACTTGTTTTCTTAATATATGCAGGAGTTCAATGTTCCACTACTATGTTAAAATGTGAAAAAAAGGATTTGATGCTCTA